GACGTGTCCAGAGCCAAGCGAGACAGTCGTCCACGTCTGCACTTGGCGTGTTGCTCAAAGCTTGCTCTGCTTGCTCAGGCGTGAATCCGAGTCGGAGGAGTAAGGAGTGCGTAGTCAGACCTCGAACCAGAAGCGAGGTGGCTGAAGAAGTAGCAGTGAGACTAGGCACGATTGCCGAAAAGGCTACGCTGCCTTGCGATGGTTGAGGATCTGCTGGAATTTGAGACAGGATCTGATCCCGCAGTATCGGGTCCATCATGAAGCTCGGCAAGGAAGCCGCCAGCCGCCTATCATATTCGATGATCTGCGGGTAACCTCGGAGTGTCAGCATTGAGAATCCAGGCATGATGTCGCATGTATGCGCATCATCTCACCTTCCAAAGCCTCGCTGATTCCTTTTCGCTTCTGTCCCACACTCTGTCCGTGACGAGCTGCAGCGCCATCTCCTCCGCCATCTCCTCTGTCCATTCCTGAGCCTTGCCCTTCCCATACCCGCCTACCGCATTTGGCGCATTTCCAGTACCCAAGCCCAGCTCATCCGCAGCTGATCTAGCCGCTTCTTGCTCTTCAGCAGTCTGTGTACGGGGAGTGCTCGTGCCTGATGATGCCCCAGAGGGAGGATCTTCCTTCTTGGAAGGAACGCTGGTCGTTGCGAACCCACGAGCTGGATTGGGTTTCAGCGCAGCCTTCTTCTTCTTTGCCATCTTGACGAGCTCTGACTGACGGACCAGGCTGATGTGAACGAGGCAAGCGAGCGGAAGCGAGTGATGGACAGAGCAAGGCGGAGCTTGCAAGCATATTCACGATTTGCGAATGACTTTTAATTTGTCAGCCCACATGCGAGTCAAGGGAGAGAAGTTGAGAAGGCGCCAGGACTATCACGTGACAGGCGCAAGTGCACGGACGGGACCTCCGTTGCAGGTGTTGGTTCTCATTTACGATGCGTAGTGGCTATCTCTCATTTGCCAAGTCCGATCGACCTCCCACTCGTGGTCCTTACACCTCTACGCTCAACATTTCCAGACGTGCATTCAAGCGCCCACAGCAGCTCTCGACGTGGGAAGCGTGGGTTGAGTCACTCGAATGTTCTTGGTCCCATCACCTCAGAGGCTCCCTTCACCCCGCAAGGATTCATAATGACGTCCCTGGAGGTAGACGAGACGGAGCTGCTCAAGATGTACAAGCTCGACACCCTCAATCCGACGCAATGGACAGATGCTGAAGATGTAGAAGGTGGAGCAGCCGGGCCTTCGTCAGCCGGAATCCTGACCGATGAGCCCGATGCGCTGGGTCTTCGACAAGGTCTACAATCCGTCACTCGTAACTTGCCCAAAGATACCCGATCGCAGATCTTGTTGTCGTCCAAAGCTTTTGATCCAAAGCTTTATCTCTCCACACTGCATCCAGATGCTACCTTTGCCGATCTGAGCAGGGCTGTGCAGCATCTGGAGGATTCGATTGCACAGAGGAG